GTGGCGGGCGGGGGTGTGTACGGGGCGGCCGGAGCTTAAGGCTGACAACCTTACCGCCATCTGTGAGCCATTGTCTAGATAATGTGGGAGCCTCAACCTCTCACTGTTACAAGAATCACGTTACCTTTTTAGCATTTGGTCATCTTTTAAGTTACGTATGTATGTCCCATCACGCGAGTTGGCACACCGTCATTTTATTTGTCAGTTTTGTAGAACTATTGATTAAAATTGCAGTTTGTGTTTAATATTAAAATATTTGACATTAGAAATTTTGAGTTGCTTCTTTTGGGGGGGGCACGCTTTGTTTTGTGGGGTTTTGAGTACTTTTGCAGTCTTGGAAGCAGTATCTATCATGTGATATATTGAGGGAATTAGGATGAAAGTAAAATTAGTATTTTAAATTTAATTACTTAATAGCAACAACAGAAAGTTGAACTGCCATGTATAAATAAAAGTGTATTCGGTTTCGAGATGTCCTTGTTTAGGATATGTGGAGTTTTAAGAGAGTTATTGGTATGAATATATATATATACAGGGTGTTTCACGACTTAAAGGAATAACTGCAGGAGTTGATTTCCTAGGTCTTTGTGATCAAAAGTTCATATAAACATGTGTCCGCTTTTGGATGGTTACGGAGTTATGACCGTTTTAAACTCAGAATAGAAGGTAACGATTACTGACAATAAACGGAACAAAATAATAAACCAGCATAATACATGATACATTTAAAGTATGACTATAAAGTTAACTTCGTGAAATTACCCTTAATTTGAATTTATTGGTGCTTTAAGCTGATTTTCGAAAATACCACCGCTGGCCGCAACACAGCCTGCCGCTCGTTGTGAACCGCGCCGCACATACCAACCCACCACGCCTTAGGTACCTCTCAAGTGTCGAGATAACGGGAACGCTCTGTTTGTAGCTGGCTAAAAATAGCGACCCGCCAGATGACAGACGCGGTTCACACAAGGGCGTGTACGGGAATGAAAAAACAATCATAACTCCATAACCGTCCAAAATCGGACACATGTTTATGTGAACGGTTTTCATCACAAAGACCTAGGAAATCATCTCCTGCAGTTATGCCCTAAAGTCGTGAAACATCCTGTATATATATATATATATATTTTTTTTTAAGTAATTACATGATAACCTGATGCTTTCATAATATTTGGGCACCTTAATACTCCATAAACAATATTATAAGTATTAGTACTCTATTGTGTCAGTAGCATTTGTAAGTCTTTACACGGAAGGAGCCTCATTCCATATTTTACTGTTTACAGCTGACAGATCGGTGCTGAAACGGATTTCAGAATTTCACAGCGATGATGGTGCAAGTGAGACCAAAAGGACGAGAGTCGAAAATTGTCATAGTGAAAATTCAGAGAGTGATAAAGACAGTGGAAATATACGTGGAAAGGGAACGGATGGAGAAACGGATAAGGCCACAAGAGTTCAAAGACAGGAGGCAAACAGTAAAGCATTTAGTGAAAATGGAGAAACGGTTAGTGTTGTGGACAAAGAATGTAGTGGAGTTGATAAAGGAGGTGGCGAGAGGGACAAGGAAATAAGTGGCGTTGAAAAGGAGTTGGTAGATAAAGACACATCAAAAGACTGTGAAGTAGTGAATTCTTCCAAGCGTGTTCATGAACCAATGGGTTTGATTGAAGTGAAAAAAGTTCACATTTCCCCTGAACTGGAGAAACAACTGAAGCTTTCGGAGGGTAAAAACAGCAGCGCAGAGGGGACACAGAATGAAGGAATGGAAAAACAAGAAGAACCTGGAAAATCTGCACTTCCATCAGAACTCAAAACGAACTTGGAATTAGCAATTGATCGTGTTGCCAAAGGGTTAGCAGGTGATTCTAAAAGGATAAAGTCATCAGAGCCCCCCCGGAAATTAAACCCCATGCCCTTCATGCGAGACCTTCATCGGAACTTGCTTAAGAAGCTTTCTAGAAATGTAAGTTCACTAGCACCATTTTGTTTATGTAGCTGTTATTATATAGTATGCCCCAAAAATATGTGTGCATATTATGTTCAGTTGCTCTAACATTAAGTCCTTCAGACATTGGTTAATTGTTGTGATATTTACCTTAATCTAACAAATGTTCAAAATGTCCATCATAAGTATCAGTAACTAACAAAATGACCATATGTGTATGTGTTGATGGGTCCTAGTTATACAGTTAGTCTTTTGAATACTACAGAATTAAAAATGTAGTGGTTCAGTAAAACCTATCTTAAACGGAATCTCAAGGGTCCAGAACATTTTTTCCGCTGAAGCCAGATTTCCTTTTAATCAAGGTATACTATAATAATAAAACTAGGACCTGCATATATTTGAGACAAAAAGGAACACCATATCCATTAATTTATTCAAGCTATAATCGGTGAACACATTCAAACATTACACTGACCAGAAAACAAATTTCAGTACTTCATTTTTTGTAATTCTACCAGAACTGAAGCAGAGTTTTTTTGCACACAATTTACTTTCTTGGCTGCCTGACTTTCTGCAAACACTTCAGCTTGAGAAATTACACTAAGTATGTCTGAATCATTCCGTTGTATGGCAAATTCCTGCAGTTCCTTTAAACAGCATATTGATAAGTCTTCACTCTACACTTCTTCTATCAGAATGTCATTCTCCTCTTCTTCCTTCATTAAAAACTCTCTGATGTCTTTTGCGAAAACTCTCCAACTATTCATTAGATGCTTTGAATTCAGTCTTCCTCAGTTTTTCAGCAACATTTTATAGCATATTCCTATAGCATATGATCTGACACGCGGTGATTTTTCGCCATGACACTGACAAACCACTCCCAAACTATTTCATTAACGTCTTCATTTGCAGTTTTCTTAAGTTCTCTTTTTATTTTTCCCTTAGCACAATTTTCCTACCGCTTCAAAATTTCCGTTTTCTTCTTTAGAATCTACGTAGGCCTAGAGCCATTACTGAGTAAACTTTCTGGCAGGGGCAAGCAGTCCAATTGAATTTCAGTGCAGGTAACGCAGTACAGTTAAAAGCTGAATTGAAAGAGTTACAGAAAACAAAATTCTGTAGAATGTACAAGTATAGGATGTTTAAAATTCTCCTAAACAATACATTCTGGAAGACTGTAAATTTTTCGTATGAAAGCTTATTTTGATTTCTTTTTCCACGATAGACAGTTTCCGTTAAACCAAGATATTGACACCTTTTTCGGCTCCAGAGTCATGGGACCAGGAAATATTTCCGTTTAAGACAAATTCCTTTTAATAAAGGGTCCATTTAAGGCAGGTTTTACTGTGCTAGGTGTAGGTGCTGTGTGGTTTATCTAGTGGGTGCATTATTCATCTTCAAGGTAAATGAAAGTTTAGAAAATCTCCGTTTAGGGAGTGTGGTGCATGCACACACACACACACACACACACACACACACACAAAGAAGCTGAAGTGAGTGATTGTGGGTAATGCTTACAGGAGCTGGAGGAGTTTGTGGTCCAGAAGTTATGTGAAGTTGTGACTGAACGTTGTACTTTGGGTGATTTACGACAGAGGTGTCAGTCATTAGAACAGATGGTTGATCAGTGGCGAAAGAAGGCTCAACAGCTACAGAAACAGGTAAGATAGTTTTGCCCTGTATGTAGAAATACGCTTCATGAATGATACCAGTGACTCCATCCATACAGTGTCTCCTTGTTCTCATATAGCCATAATACAATTTTTTTCTGTTAGTGAAAGCAGTTTGTAGCTTACCTGTATTATTATTCTTCGTTGGGTGAGATCACCAGAATGCAGGACAAAATCATGCCATTCAGGATAGGTAACAGATGTTTTGAAAATATGGCACAGTTCAGATATTTGGGAATGACTTCAGCAAATCAAAGTCTGATTCAGGAGGAAATAAAGGGGAGATTGAACTTGGGTAATACTTGCTACCATTCAGTCCAGAACCGTTTGTCTTCTTGTCTGCTGTCTAAAAACATAAAGATTAGAACATACAAGATGCCTGTGGTTCTGTATGGGTGTGAAACTTGGTCTCTGACATTAAGGGAGGAACATAGACTGAGGGTGTTTGAGAACAGAGTGTTGAGGAGAATATTTGGACCAAAGAGAGGAAGTGACAGGAGGTTGGAGAAAAATGCAAAACGAGGAGCTACATAACCTGTTCTTCTCCAAGAATATTTATAATGATAAAGTCAAGGAGGATGAGATGGGCAGGGCGTGTAGAACGAATGGGGGAGAAGAAGAATGCATATAGGATATAAATGGGAAATCCAGAAGGAAAGAGACCACTGGGAAGACCAAGATGTAGGTGGGTGGACAATATTAAAATGGATCTTAGAGAGAGAGGATGGGATGGTATGGATTTTATTGATCTGGCTCAGGATACGGACCAGTGGAGGGCTCTTGTGAACACGGTAATAAACCTTCGGGTTCCATAAAATACTGTGAAGATCTTCAGTATCTGCACAGTTGGCGGCTTCTCAAGAAAGGCTCGGCTCCACGAGTGAGTGAATGGGGTGAGACTGAGTCCACTCGGTACTGTGGCCATTTGTGGCCTGTTGTACCAGACCCACATGATAGATTATGGTGATTTTGGAGCAGTTGGCAGAATGAAGATTGGCAAGGGAAGCTGAAGTACTTGGAGAAAACCTGCTCCATCGTCACTTTGTCCACCACAAATCCCACATGACCGGACCATGGCACGAATCTGGGCTGCCACGTTAGGAAGCCAGCGACTAACTGCCCAAGCTATGGTGTGACCTTACTTGTTAGGGTAACTCTTATTAGTGATTTTGGGCTTTCACTGTGGTTGATTATTGATGCTGATTCTGTTATGTGGTTGTGGGTGGAGATGCCGACATTCTGCGGTTATATGCTGCCTCACACTCTTCGGTAGTGAAGATGGAGGCAGCATATATATCTGAAACATTTGTAACATTGCCCACCACCAGATAGTGTAACAGCCCAAGAACAGACTCAACATGTGAGGTAAGTGTCTTCAATTCTTCTGTAACAGTATTGATAGTGATTATGCTGGTGATATAACAACAACAGTAATAACAATAATAAATACATACCGTATTTACGCATGTATAGGCCGCAGCACAATTTTCAGACAGAAATTATAGAAAAAATAATTTTCTTGGAATATTATTTCAGGAGTAGAAATTATTCTGAAATTTGGAAGCGTTGATTTTTTTTAAATGAAGTGTGATTTCGAATATAAGCCGCACCCCACTTTTCCTCTTGAATTTTTGGCAAAAAATGTGCGGCCTATACATGCGTAAATACGGTATTGCAATTGTAGATTACTAGAGGTCTGCTTGCTCAAAACAAGTTTCTTCCTCCAATCATTACTTGACTTCTTGATACACACCATCCGACCAGTACACTTAGACTGCGGATATTTCTGTGCTGTCATGCTGAGGTGAGGTCTGTTTAGAAAGACTCGACTAATATGGATTTTGTAAATCATACAGGTTGTCATGTACTCATGCATTCCTGAATAGAAGTGCATTGGTCATATTTACCATAAAATAATCTTCACTTTAGGAAATTGTTGAGGGTTGTTATGGGGAAAAAATTTGTTATATTTGAAGTTGTTAATTTGTATGAAATATTCATTTTAGGATAGTGCAAGGCCGTGATCTGTTCAATATGTATGAAAAAAATATGTCCAGTGTCGTTCCATCAGTTCTTTTATTTTATTGCTTTTCCCACAAGAATTGTCCTTTACTGGAAAGTTATTTGGCTCATTGTGTATTTAATGACTAGTAGCAGGACAATTACAGGTCATCACAAGTTTCAACTTCACAGACCTCAGACCTAGGATTTTCTGTTGTTTTTAATTACCCGTGTTACTCCACCCCTCCATTACGAAGGATAACTGAGAGTTCAGTGTGTAACAAAGAATAACTATTGGTAAGGTAAAGTTTCCCCTGTGCCCAACTAATTAAGCACTATGCCATGAAGGTGTATTTGGGAGTGGATGTATAGATCCACACTTTGTTAACCTCGGCACTAGATGGAGGTGAGTGATCCGCTTCACACCCCTACTGCTTTACCCCCCCTGCAAAAGACCCCTGGTACCCATTGGACAGGAGGATGGGTGGGCCCCAGAGCTGGTCTTGACGACGGTCCCTACCGGGATTTGACCTTGGATCCCTTGGTCATTCAGCCTGTAGCTAGTCGGTATACCGACTATGCTATCCTGGCTCCTAGGATAACTATAGAAAGGATCTGTTTTGGAATCAGTGCATTTGGACGATTCAGAATGAATTTTGAATGGGTAAATTGGAAGCTTAAAGGTGGAGGACTAACAGCCAGCTGTTGATGGATTTGAGAGAGAAAATCCAGCCATTGTCTCCCTGAATAAGTTATTATGATATTTAATGTATTGCGTTTCCATCATTTTTAAAATTTTGAATCAAAAGCAGTCACAGTGATATCACATTTTGAGCTGATGTTGTACTTGTTGTAGTTGCAGGAATTTAAGGTATATTGGTTTCACATTTTGTGAATCTGACAGATAAGTGGACAAGTTGGCTCAACTGGTAATCTCTTAGGTTTGTATTGAGAATGTGTCTGGTTGAAATCTGCCAGATTTTTTCCTTTGTTTTCCTCAGTCCCTCCAGTCAGATGCCTGAATAGCACAGAAGTTAGGTGACAAGTTATGTCTCTCCACGTGGTTGCTATTTCATGATTAACTAATCCTGTTACATTACAGTGTATAGTCCAAGATACCAACTTTGTTGTTAAATAAATAAATCTAAATTTGTAACGTTTTATAAGGATATCATTTGATTTGTTGAAATCTTTTTCAGTCACAGTCGTTTTCTTGTCATGAGTGCAGATTATAGTTAGCGCTCATTCAAAGTCAAATTGATTGAATATACAGTAAAGTAAAGCTCAGAAATTACTTTGCAGGGAATTGATAAACAAAATACAATAAAACTTATTATAACATGTCTCACAGATAATGGTTCACGTATTTCATTAAAGCGTGTTTCTTCTTTTCCTTTAGGTTAAGGATATGGAAATGGTCATGAAGCGGTACATTGGTGATGCTCGCACAAGAAAGGAACGACCTATTCCAGTTAAAATAACCCGGTCTGTTGGACTGCAGGTGCACATGGGACCACTGGTAAGACCTAGACATCTTTACTATACACTTGTTCTCAGTGTATGATCTGTAATCAATGTTTGGATTGTGCATTGGTTGATGCTGAGCCAGTACTTAGGTACTTGCTTTACTGAGTCACTTCTACCTAAGTGTGTAGAGGTGTTGCGATGAACTGATGATTTTTCCTGCTCTCTCTCACTTTCTGATATAGTAGTGTATATGAGGAGGTGCTGTGGTGGTGCAAGAAATTGATCATGGGATTTTGTAGATTTACACGTTCTTGGCTCCAGGAAAGCTGTATTTGAAATCCTGTTTGCCCGTGTGTGGATGGATGTGCACCTTGCTGGCACCTCAACTATCAGACAGATCGAATATGTATTTGACATTCATGACCTTATCTGGCAAATATGAATATTCCAGCTCCAAAATTAGGGCCCTTTAAATGTGCTGTAAAAACGAGATGGCAGTTTTCTGTAAAATATGTCTAGCAGTTTTTATTACATTTAAGTAATTGTAAAGACCGTAATTCTAAATAAAACTGCATAGCTGAAATCTGTAAGAAAGTAACAGCCGGGGGCTTGAACGTGAAATCTTCGTTTTGTTGACACCAGCTTATCAGTCAGACAGATGCCATTATTGTTTGGTATTAACAGCCAACAGTGGTCTACCCAGCAGCAGTCGGTTTCAATTCCAAGGGAACATTTAGAAAATCAGCCACATATTTGCATGTTACTACAGTCTCCCGTTTAGCTACATTGCTTTTTGTGGAGGGGAAGGCTATATATTCTATATACTAAGTTTACTATGGTTTATCATCGTGCGTTAAACTCCCAGTTGTCCATTATCCACACACTAGTACTCCCATCTATCCTTCCTGCAGGTGTCAGTAGAGGCTATTTTAAATTATGACTGTGTTGCAGTATATCAGAATCCTTTCACCCATCAGTATGGCGTGTCACCCATGAAGACTCCCATGCAAGAACTGGAGTGAGAATGTACTGTTTTGACATAGTATTGGATGTCTGTATAAGCATTTTTCAAGGAACAGACAGATTCATGTAATTAGCACACCATAGTCTTCTTACATGTCAGATAACTGGGAGTTTACTGTAATGATTTAGGTTATATGTGACTCATTGAAATTCCTTGCAGACTGAAAATTGTTGGCCTAGAGCAGGTACAGAAATTTGTCTTGATTAGGGTGACTCTTGAAGATGGAAGTGGGTAGTTCGTACCGTTCTCTCCCAAAGGCATAATAGTACTGATGTTTGGATATTGGTTGTGGCTTGCTAACATTAGTGTGAAGTTTTCTGTGTTTTGATTAGTTTATTTTTGTTTGTGTATAGGGTCCAGGTATGTTGAGAAACCGCATACTGGGCAGTGACACTCAGAGGACTCCAGGGCAAGTGAGACGGAGAGGCAATAGGGTGTCACCTCCTCGTGTGGCAGCATCAGTGGTATGGCATTATTCTACTTAAACTCATGTGTTTGCATTTAAATGGCCACCTGATATGTGCATTTAAATTTACAGTAATGCTATTTTCGTAGTGTATGTTCATTATTATCTTTATTTGAAGCCCATTAATGCATTTTGTGCTCCATGTATACACAAGTTAGCGATTACTGCCCTCTGTAGTCTGATAGATATTTGCCACAATTTAAGAAGAACATGCTGCTTAGGAGAATTCTCTTATATTCTGAAGATGGAGTAAGCTTATTCCTCTTAAATGTTTGTAAATAGCTACCAGATTGCATGGCATCATGTCTCAGAAGACAGCATCTTCATAGTCATAACTATGAGAACTTCAGGTCGTATATCCCATGACACATTAGGTTAGGTTAGATTAGATTAGGTTAGGTTAAGTCAGGCCACATGTACATTTATCTTCTTTAGCACTTCTTTATCTGACTGCCTCTGTGGTCTAGTGATAAGAATTCCTGGCTACAGATCCAAAGATCCTGGGTTCAATTCCGACGTTACCAGATTTTCTGAAAAGTAGTGTGTCTGGATTAGGGTCTGCTCAGCCTCACAAGGATAATTGAGAAGCTCTTTCAAGGAAATAGTGGCTCTGTTCTAGAAAGCCGAGATTAATGGCTGTGGGGATACATTGTGCTGACCACGCAAAACCCTCTAGCTGCAAAAGTTGGCTCTAATTTCACTGACAAGCAGCGGTCACTCGGTCGGTAGAGTTCGCTTTCGGACTAAAACCACAGAGCACTTCTTTATCGTAAATTGCCATAAGAACTCAGCATGGAAAGGGCTAACCAGAACAGAAGTTATGAAATCCAAAAGACATTAAGTAACTCCTTGAAGCCACCTTTTCTGAGGTAACTGCTGAGTCAAATAATTATGTTAAGATGGATGCTATGAGTCTCATAACATATGAACAGCTGATGTAGTAGTATTAGAGTTCTTATTGATTTATTGTAAACAAATTCTTTGATTTGATCCACACGAGATATTCTGAAGTAACCCATCAGCTTAAATTTGAAATCAGTGACATGTTTGGTCCAGTGTTGTGCACTGTCACACTTTGCCAGTACAGTGACCTGTAATCAGAATCCGGCTCCAGGGGGGTTGGTTAATCATGCAGGCATGTAATGCAATATGCACTAACTTATTAGTGTTGACAGTTTCTGAACAAAAACTGGTTATTTGTCAGGATTTGCGTATCTAGTAATGAATATTTAACATATTCTCATTTTTGTAAACATGTTTTGTCTAACAGCAACAACAGCAGCCACAACAACAGCCACAACAGCAGCAGCAGCCGCTACAGCAACCACAACAACAACAACAACAACAGGCACAACAGCAGCCACAACAACTCCAGCAGCAGCAACAGCGACAGACGCAGCCAGTTGTGAGAACCCCCACCACAAATGCACTGACAGTACAGAAGGTTGTAACTCCGGGTTTTACAAAGCTCACGCCCCCACCAGCAGCACCTACTCAACCTGCGATTGCTCGTGTACCAATCCCGACGCTTGTTGGTCCATTACCAGCGTCACTTAAAATGTCATCATCAGCACCTAAGGTTAAAATGAATGTTTACTTAGAATGGATTGTAATATATTGTAACATGTTTCGGTTACTGAAGACGCCGTTCAGATTGTTAATTGGTTTATTTAACAATCTACAAGTATCGGCTACAATTAATTATAACGCTGTTGCGGGGTTTCACACTTTATAACCCTATTCGCAATAATGAATTCACTCTGTCCTCAGTAGTCTACACGTATTAATTATGATACGGGAGCTATACAAGTGTCACTGTATCATGCACTCCCAGTTATTACTCACTTATCACAAACTATCACTGATTATCACACACGCGTCCAGTTCTTCTTTCTGCGACGGCTGCTATATTCCNAACCAGACAGATATCAACAAAGTAGATGTTGATAATAACAAGGAAAATGTTTTTAAATGTTAAATTTTGGGCTGGGTGCAGTGTGACAGCAACGTGAGTGTTACACACCTGATGATGGCCGTCTGAGGCCGAAACATGTAGTGTAAAGGAGCAAGATCAAGGACACATAATATATTGTTTTCACTTGGGACAGAGTTTATATCATTTATCGTATAGAGTGCAACAGGATGCTTAAATATAATATTGCTATATTCCAACTCGACTCTTAACGGCTCGCTGCTGCCTTGAGAACTCGTTCACTGATGACTTGAGAACTGTCTTCGGCAGCTGTGTAGTTCCCTTATATAGTCACAGTGTTTACCTGTTATGTAGTGGGTACTGCTGTTGCCTGTTACCCGTGTCACAGCTGCATTGCGTGTTATGTCACCGCGGGGAGTAATGACAGCGCTACAATGCCGCCATGTACCGCTGAGGGGGTCCTCCATTGTGCAACATGTCACAATATTTATTACAACATCCAGATAATGTTGTGATGTGTGTGTAATGTGTGTGTATACAGGGTGTCCCAGGAGGAATGTGCCAGACTTTGGGAGGGTGTTCCTTATGTTAAAGTATGCCGATATAACCCAAAACACCTATGTCCAAAGTTGAACTGTTACGGAGATAATGGCCCAAGAAAAGTGTGGTCTTCTGGCAGGTACATGCACTTTACCTGTCAGCTGACTAGTTTTATCGATGTTTGTCCTTGAGTGTGGTGATGACCGCTCACGTTAGCCCCGCACACTCGCATACCAGAACACGCAGTCAGCAATGTTACGTCAGTGTTTGCCATTCATGTGTCATGTATAGTGCTTGGAACCCTAACGACAACTTTGACATGGCATGTGAGTTTTTTGTAGTTCGATTCAATGGCTTCACGTCACTCACAAGTTAGTTTGATGTTACGTACATTATTAACATTACAGAATCCACATATTCCTGCCAGTTTTAATATGTATTTGGTAATCAACAA